CACATGAGTGCACAAACTAAACTAGCTGAGTAGAGATTACGATATCACAAAAACACCAATTCACTTGGCAAGGCCGATTCAAACCAAGATACTTGAAAAATTTATTTGAAGCTACGCATTTCATTGCGATATATAATTTTATCATGATATACAGATATGCGCACAGATGATCATAGCATTCTCGCAAAGAATCACTTCCAAAAGAATTCAAAGTTCGTTTTAAAATCTTCTTTACTAAAAAAAAAAAGAATATCGACAAAAAACTGAAAAGACTGATAATCGAGAGACAAGTAAACATCGATCACATACAATGCAGCTTTATTTGAATAAATCTCATGACGGAAGTTACATTTTAATCTAGATCATTGTATCTTTTAAATGAAATAATTATAAAATAATTCTAGTGCAGTTACATATGTCAAGTAAAAATTTATTCTTGAATGTTAAATAGAATTGCAGTACGAACACAATAGTACGAATGTATGGTTTGTTCTTTTCTGTACTCAATAGTCTTATAATTAAACTTTTTGAAAATATGAAGAACGAAAACAGTCACTGATCGAAATCGTATGCATAATTTTTTCACAACTGTATAGAATTTGAAAAAATCACAAAGATGACCTTGAATTGTTTAACTTTTATCTAATTTTATCGGACTTTTTATTATAAGAACCACCCATGATTCTATATTATCACGTCCTTCTTTTGAAAAAATTGTTAAAGTACAAAAATCCTTAGTAATATTGTTGCCGTAAGTTTTCAATAGCTTCCTTAAGTAAATCGCGTGTTTGATTAATTTCTTGTGTATTTTTTTGCTTTACAAAATGTATCAAATAGCCAACTAATATAATTAATGTATGAAGATCAAGTTGTTGACTAAAATCTTTGTCAATTAAAGAATTCTCTATGCCATGATAACCTCTTAATAATGAAATAATATCTAATTGTGGTTCGTTCATCTTAAAAATAGCGAAATCCGTCGTTACAGGTCCACCTTGCATATCACCAAAGTCAATAATACCTGTTATGTTTAAATTTTCATCAACAAACCAATGTTCAGGAGTGTAATCACCATGACATAGAACTGGTTGGTGACATTCATAGGTATTCATAAATAGATCATGACATTTTATGATGAATTTGAAATCTTCTTCAATGAAATCAACATTAAACAGTGCCTCTTTGTCTTCAGTTCTATCTTTGATTGATGACTTCACATAGTCAATCCAAGAATCAAAATCCCATTGATTATCATGATGCAACCGCCAATAACCATGAACCTTAACTGAATGAATTCTTTTCAATATGGCACCAGCTTGTTCTAAAACGCGAACAATATCATTTTTGCCTAAATTTCGTTCATCAATCACTTTTTCTAATATCATAGTGTCTCGCAGTTCATTATTGATCATTTCTTGTCCTACAAATAACACTTGTGGTACAGGTACACCGTGTTTGCGAGATTCATTTATTGCCCATACTTCTTGATTATAGAGAACATCACCAAAACGATGCACTTTTAAAATAACATGTTCATCATTGACCATTTTTACATCATATACTTCACTATCATTACCTTCAATGATTCGTTGTTTTTCTTTCATATCGTGACCAGTTACTTTTAGGATTAGACGGCTAATTATTTCATCAGATACTGGAATAATTTGAGATTGTCGTTGTATCATAAAATCAGTCATATCTCTACTAGAATAGAAAAGAGACAGGGGAAGAGTTTCTATATGAATATGTCAATGAAGTTAGCAGCGAATTCTAGTATTTTCGATTTAGTTTTCTAGAGGATTATGTTGAATGCAGAATCCAATTTTCTCTATCAAAATAGTGCTATTTAGTAGAGAATTGAATCTTGCATCCAACATCATATTTTAAAAGACCAATACCAGCTTCTCGAGTTCGCTGCCAAATCATTTATGCTTTTGGATCATTTTAGATTTTAACAAAGTTTCGAAAATTTCAGTTTTGCACTTGTATTCATAACTATGGAACTTATAATTTGATGTCAAAGTACAATCAAAAAATACAGTACCCTATGACTGCTTGTAACTATGGATACTAGACTTTAAGACAAAACAGTTTTAGAATGTTTTATAACCACCATTACGAGGATACCAGTGATTAGGAAATATTAGCGAGTAAAAGTGTAGTAGTAATCACAACATTGGAAACCTTTGCCTTTATTTCAATCGTACAAACGAATACATTCTTTCTATTTTTCGTAAGCTGAAACACACTTGATTAATAGTGCATCTATTGTCTTTTTTCTTCACCATCCATGTGACTCGTAGGGACTGGTTTGTTTGACGAAGATAAACGATAAAAACAATGAGAGAAAGAGATCTACAGAGGTCGTGTGGCGATGTTGTATGCTTTCGTAGCTTGTGCCATGCAATAAAGAAAATAATTGAATATCAAAATACATCATAAAAAGAAATAAATCTCTTGAATGTTTTCGTCTATTTCTATCGTTACCTGTGAAGCATTTTTCTTATGCGTCTTGTTTTTGACTTGTATCACCAAAACAAAAGTATACAGAACATAACAAAACAATTCAAATTTAATCCAACATCGCTAGAAAATTTACCCAACGAAATTTTCATCGAAATATTCGCCTACTAGAAAGGGTAGGGTGTGGGTGTGTGTGTGGGTGTGTGTGTGGGTGTATGTGTGGGTGTAAATCTTCTATTAGCCTACACCCACACCCAGACCCACACCCAATTTGTTTGAAGATTCTTTTTGTCATATGCGCCCATAAGATTTAGTTTCTAGTTTTGACCTTCTAACAACATTTTTATCTTATTCATAACTTCATTACTCGTCTCCTTTTCTTTTCAATAAAACTATCAACAAATACCAATCAAAATGATTGCTTTGAAACCGTATATTCAGTGCTCATTTTCAGATGTATGTGTAGTATTTATTTTTGAAAGCTAAATATAGTTCACTTCTGACATATATTGGCTAATTTTCAGTGAAAGAAATTTTAACGGAAAGGCAAAAATTATTACTGGAGACAATGTCTATAATACTTCCTTAAATGACTCTATTTACAGAATAGTTTGGAGTACACGAAAGCATTTTTCATTATTGAAAAAATGCAGAAATCATTTCAGGTTCAGTTTTCCTTGGCTTCTAAGAAATTTCTAAATGAGAGTTCTGTAAATCAGACATATTTTCGATTAGATATATTGATTACAGTTATAATTTGATAATTAATTCAATAATAAAGGGAAGGTCATCTAGTAGGTCCAAGGCATGCCATCGTCGTTTCGGGAAAGCTTTTATTATGAAGAGTTTTCTATTAGAAGACGAGAAGTTTAGATAACGATCGTTTGGAATAAGATGATTATTATAATAAAACTAAATACTTTCAGTTATCTGTAAAAGAATTAAAAACTTTTTTGATTCGGTTCGGTTTAAATTTTGAAAACCCGAATCGTGCCCACCCCTCATTTGTATCTCTCTATTACACAATTCTGTTTTCAACCACAACAATACGATATTTTATGCGATTCGTTAAATTGCTTGAAATTTTTTTTTCTAGAAAAAAAATCTGCCAGTGACGTATTTTATCGTTCACTGAAAAGCATTTATTAACAGATTGTTGAATGAATCTATAGTTCTGCCGGTTGAATATCGGTTTCGTTTTGTTTACCGTTTTATTTATCTTACCACAATCTATTACAAATATTCTTTATTATTTTAGATTCTTATTTGTTTCAAACATAAGATATTCTTATCTTCTCCCTTTTATTGAACATCAGTTTTGTATTCTAACAGAACAAATTCATATGAAAGAGTGTTACTAATTTCAATTTATCCTCAACAACATTAAATGAAACAAAATCATGATGATTTTATTGTCTTTTTGGTTTGGTTTAGATTATGTTCCAAATGAATTAGTATATTTTGTCGATTATTTCCAGCAATGTAATTCATTTGAAATTTGTGTTGATTATATAATAAAATTTCAAAGTGAACAAAAGAGGCATCATCAAAATGTGAAATATGAATAACAAGAACATTCGAAACTAGTTGATATTTTCAGAGATGAACTTGCACTCGTCGATCGATTACGTCAAGATGTTCTACTAACATATAAAAATGATTTACTTATAAGTATCTCTTGTTAATGTGAGTTTGATGTTATTTATCGATCAAGCATTAATTTTGTATCTGCATGTCTCATTTAAGTTCGATGTAAAAGAAAATGATCAGTCCAATCATATTATCTGTTATATTGTCGCATTCTTCATTGGTTTTATATTTGTCTCTTATTTAAATTCATTCTATAACAAGAAGATTCATACTGTTCTATTTACGTCAGAAAGGTAGAAAAAAATAAACTGAAATAGTTGATCTTCTGTTGCTTTCCGGAATTCTTTTCAAGAGATAAAAAAAAGTTCTTCTTTGAATGATTCTTCTCATTTCTATGATATGAGTGATATGAGACCAAGAGGGAAACAGCTGATTATTCATTAGGATTGATTAGGGGTGAGGGTGTGAATGTGAGTGTGGGTGGTGTGGATGTGTGCTGTGGCCTGTGGGGTGTGAGTGTTAGTGTGGGTTTGGGTGTGGGTGTGGATCTACTCTTCACTCTCACCCACATACAGCCACCATCCAATCTTCTTGAAAACACAAGTTTTTTCTCTCTGTCATATGAGCAGTAAGATACCGTAGGCTTTTAAATTAAAGTATAAACCTATTTTGAAAGTTTATGTCCTTTCAGCAGTGATCAACAACTTTTCGGTTAAGAATGGGGCCTTCTTATGTTGAACACTTTTTTTGGCTATATCACTTGAGGATACTATCAAAATTGTAATATTAGATTCAGCATTGGATGATGCGTTAAACGAACATAACTATTTCCAAAAACTTCTTGAGACATAAAGAAAGAATGAAAACAGTTAGAATTATTTACCGATCAATACACTGCTTCTGTTACGCATAAAAATTTGAGATTGTCCATTCTACATTGAACTATACCTTCACACAGAAAAAAAAATAAACAAAAAAAAAGGCTATTCTATTTTTGAATTACTTTCCTATTGTTACTAAGAACTAAATTTTAATTTCAAAATGAAATGCATTCATACTTGAGTTTGCTTTACTTTTTATTTACATAATTGTATATGCTGTTTCTCAATCAGGGACAGCAATGCATTCTCACTAATTGAAAATGAAAAAATTATGCTAGCTGTAATAAAATAAATGCAAATGCTACGATGATTAATTAATCTTTTAGAATGAAAAGGAAAAAGTTCAGCCGATAGACAGTACTAGTTTAAAAGAAGATTTGTAATTCATGAATGACGAAGAACGACATGCAAATCAAGCCAAACAATAATCACATTTTTCTTAACTGAAAAATAATTGTTTATGTCAAATTATCTTCGATAAATAATGAAGTAATATTACAAATGAAAGATTTCACGAAAACTCTTTGTCAACAATTCATGGACCACAGTTTGACAAAGCTAGACATTGATTTATCTGTACTACATGAAGATAGAACTAACTTTCACTAAAAATAAAATTCATTGATTCATATAGAAATATAAACAGTATCCAACCAAATACTTCTGATTCCGTTAAAAAGTAGTAGTACGTCTTTGTAAATAAAGAAAAGTAAAAAAGATAATTACTTTTAGAGAAGCATATAAATATTTGACGAATAAAGTCAGTCTAAATAATAGAAAAAAGAAGACGTAATTAACTAAGAGCAGTTAAAGCAAAGGAGTTGAGCGAGTAGGAAAATATTATTCAAACAAAAGTTGAAAATTAAAAAAAAATGAAAGTATATCATAAACTGGAGGCGTAGCTTTCTCCATTCCTCACAGTGATGTTGTTTCCCGAGTTATTGCATTATTTCAGTTATATCTAGAATAATATTAACATGAGGGCTTTTTACCAGTTACACAAGAGAAAAGAAAAAGAAACATACATGATCAAAGTTGATACTTAGAAGAAGGAGTCATTTGGAGAATAGAAAAGACAAAAAAAAAGTAGAATATACAATGAACAATTGTCAAAAGTAACAATTCACTAATGTTGATTTCATATTAGATTCATAGATCATCAGAGTAGTAGAATTGTACATTTAACCCATTGATCGTTCGATATACATTTAGGATTTGCATAGCGCAGTCCATAAACACTCTTCTAGATTAATGACTACCCAAGCTAATATTTATGTTAGACGTCGAAACCAACTCATACATTTCATCAAAAATCTGAACTTATACGATGAAGATGATGAGCTGACTCTGATTGAACAGCTCTTATCTACACGTGTTTTCATTATTTCAATGTCGATCGCTCTCTTAATTATACTATTATTTACTGGTATCATTCCTCGAACACGTTCATTCACAATATCTTCACCATCTGTCAATGATTTCGAAAAGGTCATCAATAGTTATACAACTACAGCTATGTGTCGCTGTTCTCAAACATCGATTCCTTATCCACAATTTGTGTCATTCAATCCACAACTTCATCAAGTTTGCTCAAGTGATTTCGTCAGTGAAGAATGGTTTTCCTCTTTATTCAATGTCAATACAAGCAATTACTATCCTCTTGACTTTCGTTTGATGGCTTCTGCACAATTTCAAGTTTTATCTATTCTTTGTCGAATATCACGTCAAGCTGTAAGAGATGCTATCAAAGAATTCACTAAAACAACAATGTTGTCACCAAATGGATTGTCACGTGATGTATTCAATAGTTATGTAGGGGCGTCTATTGAACAATTTCAAAAAAATACACTTGAGAATTTCCGTTCATTCAATCATTTTGTGTCATCTTTGGTTGAAGAACATCATTTTATATCTGCATTAAGAACAAATTTCTATACGAGAAGTGTTCCTGGTAGCAATATTTCTGTAACTTTTTCTGCCATTTATCCACAACAAGTCGACCTAACTCAATCGTCATCGATGTTGAATGAAAAATGTCGATGTGATCGTACAAGTAATTGTGTTTATCCTGCTGGAATTTATAATCAATCACGAGCTATCATTCCGAATGAAGTCTTTTCACTTGATGAATTGCCTCTATTCGTTGTACCAGGATTTCAAATAGGATGTTTACCTCAAAATGCATTACTTCAATCAACATTGGAATGTTTTTATAATCAATCATGTTTAAATATCGTCATTTCGTTGACTGGTGCTCTTCACACTGTCTCAGCTCTGAATATTTCAAAATCTTTATCACGATTCAGTCCAACAACAACTATTGGTGTTCTTTTTGATAATCTAATGATTGAATCTTGGGAGAACTCTATTGATTTTGCCATCTATTTCCAAACTTGTGCACCAAAAGCTTGTTCATATTCATATTTACAACGTTTTTTTCTCATTTACATGATTACAACCATGACTAGTGTCTTTGGTGGACTAAGCGTAGCATTGCATATCGCATCTCCATTGTTTGTCAAATTCATTTTACGTTTATGTCGCCAGCGGATTCAAACGATAGAAGCCGATGAAGGACATGAATCCAGTAGAAGTAAAGTCAATCTCTCCTTCAATATATGTTTTATTCTTCTTCTACTTTTTCTTTCCACAGATTTTCAAGATCGTATATGGAATTTCATTAAGCTAATTCGTCACAAAGTTATCACATTGAATTTGTTCAAGACAACTTTCACCAATATTCAAAATGGTATTTATTCTACTCGTATCTATATCATATTGCTGATACTTGGTATTTGCATTTTGTCGATTTACTCTACTTCAATAGTTAATTCACAACAAGTCATTGTCAGAAATCCAAGTCTGGATCAATTTGAACATCTTCATGACATGTATTCATCGATTTTATCATGTCCATGTCGTTATTCATCGATGCAACGTTCAACATTCATATCCAACGAAGTACAAATTCATCCATTTTGTACAAGTAGTTTTGTTCGCGATGATCGTTGGCTCCAATATTGGACAATGAAATTTCTCAATGGTAGCATCGATCCTACTCCACCATTTTATTGGACTGATTTTCGCAAGAATGGATTGAAATTTTTTAATTATGTTAAGATATTCTGTGACATAGTCAATAGAAGTTTGTCTGACATAGTGAATTCGTTTCAAGAAGAGTATTTTTTCTCTCCTCAACCTA